TGCCACTGTTCCTTCTTTTTTCGTTGGGCCAGTTGTAGTTTTATCGGAGTTTTAATGGAGGATAGTTCGATTTACGTTTATCACATTGGTTTTTTTTTATAGGTACACAAGTATCAAATTTTGAGATTCATGGACGACTGGGAGTTATCTGTCATGGAGTTCTTGATACATATGAAATGGACTGGTCTACTCGAAACCATCAGTATCGGATGTTCGAGTAAGTGATATGAAACTTATCCAGCAATTTTTCACTTTTCTGCCTTGCTTATAGTGTAGTCCTTTTCATATTCAACTAACTAACTTATTTGCTCTTTATATCTGATCCTTCAGCTTTTGCAAGGAAAGCATAGACAGTGTGAAAAATTTCTTAGTTCAGTATTGCCAAGAACGCAAGCGGGAAGGCTACACTATGATACAAGATCCACTATCAGTTTTCTATGAGGCCTTGTGTGTTGGATTTAATGAGAAACAGAGCCATGATGACCTTTTTCTCCAACCATCTTCAGTGTTCTCAGGTTATTTAACTTCTCCTTTTGCTTGATAGACTTTAAGAAACCTGCCAGGATGATTAAGAGCTACCCCATGAATTGGTCCAATATACCGTCTATAGAGCTGCATGAGACTATGTTGTGTCCACTGATGAACTTTTTCTAATAGGCGGTTCTCAAACGGATATTGGTCAGATGAAACAACAAGACATTGCAAGTCTACAAAAGCCAGAGAACTATGGATCAAGACTTGCTAGGAATGACAGGCAAGAAATTCTTACCCAAGACAAGGGAGAAGAGGGCGGTAGACAACTTTCTAAGAGCTCACTTGCCGCACAGGTTAGTTGCACTCGTCTTGGACATCTGTAGCACATTCCTGACTATAGTGTTATGCGAATTAATTGTAGAATATGGCTTTATCCCTCAATCTTTCTTCTGATTAATTTGTCATTTGTGCTGCTGAGTAGAGCAGAGGGAAAGGACAGGCAAGATGAAATTGAAAGATTTCTCAGATTTTTTCCATCTTCCCATAACTGTTGCAGCTAGAAAATTGAAAGTCTGCCCTACTGTGATCAAGAAGAAATGCAGGCAGGGTGGATTGTCAAGGTGGCCATACAGAAAGGTCTCTGTCCACGATCTTGTGTGTGCCTACTTACATGCACTCATTTGCGTGTGTGTGTGTTTGTTTGTTATGCTGCTCCATTCTTGTGGTTATTTTCACTTTCGTACCTTCCTCTTCATATCTACCTCATTTTGTCTCCCTTCTCTTCTTCTTGTCACACATCAATTACATAATTCACCTGTCTGTTTGTGTGTGTGTGTCATTGTTTCAGATAAAAGGCATCAAGAGAAAAATATCAATGAAACAACAGAGTTTAACCGCTGCTACTGCTGAAGAAAGAGCTCAAGTTTTGGCAGAAATACAGGTGCTTGAACAAAAGCTGGAAAACATTTTTGCAGAACTCAGTACGTGAAAGGTGAAAGTCACCAATGTAATAAAACTCCTACAGTTTTTCGGGAAATTTTGGGCTCGATAATTAGAGATCTAAGAAGAGCCTTCTGTTTTCCATTTGAAAAAGAAAATCCAAATGTGCATAATAGAGTTGGATTCGTACGTTAATTCTGTAATGAGTATGTCTCATAAAAAATATGTAACGAGTATGTATCAATGGCACCTCGCTAGCTGGGTAAATGGATGATCAAATTGTAGATAGATGTTCTCGATATGCCTTAAAAGGTACAACAATTTTGTACCTTGCAGTATATATATTTCATAAGGATGTTATATTGCTTTTGCAACAAGTCAGAGAGTCTTCTATCTGAATCCTGAGGAGCATCTGCTATCTGTGGTGTGTATCCATATATCAGTTAATGACTCAGATGATTATTTATCTGAAAGGTGTGAGGCTGCTTCTTCTTCTTCTTCTTCTTTTTTCCAATCACAATGAGATGAAGGCATTGATGAATAAAAATAAACGGGGAGTGCTTGCAGGATAGTAGGAGCACAAAGTTTCGATTCATGTTCCGAATGTCCTCCTTTGTTGGAGCAATCTCTTAAATCAAGGTCAGTTTGCCGTATAATATTGTTTACTAAGCTTAGTAACAAGAAACCTGAAAGCTCTGTCTTAGGTCAATCAATGTCATTCTCCCATAAAATAATGGTTGCTAAGCTTAATAACAAGAAATGTGAAAGCCAGCTAATAAGTAGAAAGCAAAAACATTGTTAATATCTAATGGTAGGGATGACACAGCATTTAAAGGAAATCTTTTAAGATTTTAAACTTCAGATGCCATAGTGCCGACTATGATGCCAAATGTATGTAGCATCAAACCAAGATCATTTTACGATAAACCTAAACGTTGAGTACTATAAATTCACTTTGATTTGTCCGTATTATGCTTAATCTTTGGCATCTCAGAGTTACTACATATTTGGAAGAGTATAGTATAAATTTGTCGGACTCTTTGAAGAAGAGCTAACACTGCTCAATTTTAAGGCCGAAGTAAAATGGGCAGTGATCAGAGAGTGGTTTGTGTGAAGAAAGTGAAGCAAAAAGCGGCAGAAGAATGGGACGAGAGCATGCCATTGCCTGGAGACATTATAGAAGGCATAGCGGAAGGTGCTGCTGCTAACACATTCATACCAGCCAAGGCAAGGTCAGAACTTAGTTCACAACTTGGAAGCTTTAGTCGACAGACTGAAGTGATTTGGTTGAAGGTGAGGAGAGGGGATAGCGTACTCAAGCTCCAAGCATGTGTGGTGAAAAAGGGATGTTCAAAGTTGCAAAGGAGGTTTACCATTAGAGCAGCCTCTGATGAGAGGCATGTTGTGGGTTTAGCAGATTTAACTTATGAACAATGTACTGCACTCCAAGGTACGTGATATTTTCTCTCTAGAAGCCAATTGTACAGTTAACTTTCTCAGATAATCAAATGATGCATAGATCAGAAAACTTCAGCTACAGTTCCCATCTGATTCTGAAAAGTTTATCGTAGCTAATGACATGTCTGTTCTGATGCTGGTCCTATCTAGAACCACTTTCCAATAGGTAAAGGATGATTAGGTCACCACCTAGGTTCAGCTTCTTGCCTTCTCCTACCCCTTTTGCAGGGCCAAACTACAATATCCATATAGGTTGGCTACAGTAGGGCACGTTATGCATTTCATGTATGATTGTAGCCCCCAAATGACTAGCATTTTGTATGAAGTGAAATTTAAGAAACTATGCAGTAACATGTCAACTTGATACAGAAATGAGTAGGAAGATTGTGACTATGGACTCCAGGGGATTCAATAAAGAAGCGATAAAGTATGACTGGAAAATGAAAGTTGGGACCTATATTCCGGATGAGGGGTCTACAGTTGTTAGTTCCGTTCTTTTCATGCCTCTGGAGAAAGAGCACAACATTGAAGCCACCACAACGAGAACCATGGCCTGGTTTTCTGCAGCTGTTTCTTCAGGGGCTCCGCTTGTGTTTGTTAACATTCAAACAGAGCAAATTACCAACTCGGTATTGTTCTTGACTACTCACATCCTTAATTTAGCAGCTTGCGTCACCCAATTCACTCTTCCACGAGAACGTATAAAATTACCCACATGCCTCATCCTTCTAATTAATACTAATGCACTTGTTGCTTTAAGCTTCGAATTCCCCAAAGGAACTTTGGAACTAATCCGAACCCTCTATATTTTCTGTTTTCCTTTCAAAGAAGAGAAGTAACATCCCGGCAAAAGAGAGTGCAAGGATCAGGCAACAGAAATACACTACAGATGTCCAAAGATTGCAAGGTATCAGATTATGGTTTCTCCCAGGCGTTGCAGAGGTGTCATTCAAGTTGGCACCTGAAAAAGGAGAAACCAGATTCGGAATGAACATCAGCAGAATTGATGAGGTGACAGAAAAATCATCCCTTACAGTTGATAAATATCAGCAGTCTTCTGTCAGGAACAAAACCAGGGATTAGACAAAAGTCCTTGACAGACCTACAATGAACTACTTTGACAAAATTTTCATTTCTTAATTAAGCTGCTAATTTACTCCTGCTGTTGTTCATTCCAGGGTTTCATCTATGTCCATTCTGTAACAAAAGAAACAGCCGCTGAACGTGCTGGTCTAGGGGACTTACTTGAGCAAGCAAACAAAACTGGTCATCTGGTCGTGATCTCGCGGTTAGAAGGAAGGAGCCTCATGCCTTCAACAGTCAGCTCTGACGGTCTAATACATTGTGGTGACAATGCTGAAATTAAGGAAACACTCACTTCAGCAATTGAAGAATTGGATAGCATCCGGATTCATATCATGTCCTGGCCCAATAACATGATTCACCAGGCTCCACAACCACTTGATGTTTCTACTCTTAGGCCTCCACAGTGCTAATATTACACCAAGTCAGCACTTCTCACTCAGTCTGGACAAACAATGGATTGTACTTGACCAAAAAATTCTCAGGAAGATGCAAGTTTTCTGATTAATGCTTGCCAGTTGCCAGCACAAAATATGCAACTTATACCGAAAGTTAGCTTTTCAGATCATGTTGATATTCGTAATGATTCATTAATTGAACAGATATTCATCTACAGGAATCCAAACGAGGAATTATGTTGAGCTAAGAAACGATTGCAACTTTGCCAGCTTAAATTATTAAGCACCTAAACATTGACAAAACTATCCGTCTTTCAATTGTATAATGCAAACCTGGAGCCTTATGTTTGTTCATCTGGATATGAGATTACTTGAATGAAAGAGTCAACTATAAAAATTCCCATGAAACAAGCACCTTCTTGTTACAATACAAAATTAGTAGTACGGAAGGCAACATATAAACAAGAATTTAAGGTTTTCTACTGGAATTTGGAAAGTACTACTATATATTTGATCATTTTGAGGGCCTAGCAGCAATTAAACGTCCTAATTTCCTGGCCTGAGAAACTCAGGCGAGGAGCCAATTTCTCAAGCGCTAAACGGCAACCGGGCTGCTGCCGATGCCAGAGAAGAGCTGAGCCGCTAGTAATGGCCACAGTCGCCAATTCTCACCTCTCAAAACGCCTGTCACCGCTAGTCCCTGAATCACGTTGGCTGGTCAACACCTTAACCTCAATCCTCCAGAAAACGGTAAACCCAGAGACGGAGCTCCCCGATATTCTCAACCAATTCTCACCCCATTTGACGCCCAAATTAGTCATCCAAGTTATTAACAACCAAACAAGCCCTAACCATTCTCTTTACTTCTTCAACTGGGCTGCTAACTTAAACCCCAACGCCAGTAATTACTTCCACACACACCATTGCTACATTGCCATTGCTGATAAGCTAATATCCCATAGATTATTTTCTTTGGCAACTAGATTACTTGAATCCCACGACAGATATTCTGATTTTATGGTGGGGAAATTTATCAAAGCTCATGGGGATTTAGGCCATTTAAATTGGGCTGTTAAGCTTTTTCATCATGTAAAAGAGAGAGAATTTGGGGACTGCTTGTTTTCGTATAATGCAGTCTTAGGCGTTTTGGTTAAGGCTAAGAGGGTTAACTTGGCCTGGGGATTCTTCGGGATGATGATTAAAGAGGCTGTTGTAAAGCCTGATGTTTCAACATATACAACAATGATTAGGGGGTTTTGTCAAATAGGCATGATTGAGCATGCCGAGAAGGTGTTTGATGAAATGTCCCGAATGGGGTGTGAGAGAAATTTGTTTACTTACAATACTATTGTTCATGGGTTCTGTAAGAAAGGTCTAATGGAAAATGCTCGAAGCATTGTAGATAAAATGGTTGAGAGTAGGGTTTATTTGCCTGATATGGTTACTTTTACCACATTGATTGATGGGTTTTGTAGGATTGGGAATACAGACGAGGCCATGAGGTGGTTTGATGAGATGGGGAAGAGGAATATCAAGCCTAATGTGTCAACCTATAATGCTCTGATCAATGGATTGTGTTTGAATGGAATGGTCGACGAGGCCAAGAAGATGCAGACTAGGATGAGACTTAGTGGAGTGAAGGATAATGTAACTACTCATACGAGTTTGCTGAAGGGATATTGTTCTGCAGGGCGATCGAATGAGGCCATTCAACATTTCAGGGAGATGGTTGGTTCTGGTTTGGAGCTTGATCAGAAATCATATGCAGTTATTGTAAATGAGCATTGCAAGTTGAAAATGCCAGATAAGGCTATTGCTCTGTTAAGGGAAATGAGGGTGAAAGGCATTAGTCCACCTATGTATGGTTATAATGCTGTACTTAGGAGTCTTGTAGAGCTGGGTGAGCTTGATAAAGCCGTATTTCTTTTGAAACAGATGCCACAGATGGGTTGCCATCCAAATTTTTTATCATATAGTGCAGTGATTTGTGGCCTGGTAAGGGCTACGGGAAGGATGCAAGATGTATGGATGCTAGTTAACAACATGCTTCAGGATGGTAATAGGCTCGACACCACTTTATACAATTGCTTAATTTGGGGATTTTGCGAGGATGGAAATGTGGAAATGGCTATGAACTTTTTCTTGAAAATGATTGATGAGAGATATTTGATTAATCTTGAATGCTTTGAAGTGTTTGTCAAGAAACTGGTCGCTGAAGGAAAGTTATTTGAGATTGAAAAGCTTTTTGAGCAGATGAGAAAATGCTGCCCAATGAAGGAGATCCACAGTTATCAAAAGGTTCTAGACGAGGTTTTAAGGTGAAAAAGAAGCCAAGTGATGAAGTTATCGAGTCTGTCAATTCTTTGCTGCAATGTAGTGTGAAGAATTGTTGGAACAAGGGTACTCATACGAGACTCATTTCTTCCTTCAAGCTCCCACTTGGAATGTGGTTGTAAAATAATCTATAGAACACCCTTCCTACCAAGGTTTCAAATTGGCAAATTTCTCATTTACTCAGTATGAGCTGTGACCTGTTACCACACTCGGTACATAACTAGAAAGCAAGAGCCTTATTCTTGTAATTATATTCCATTAGACATTTCCTTTTGAATATCTTCAGTTGCGGTATGTGGAAAGAATTTCAAAGTACAACGAGAAGATCTTTGAGGGCCTCTACCCACAAGCATGCTGCTGCCCAGAATTATAATGGCTCCTCACCCAAGTGTTTCTGAACCAGATGCAGCCGAAAGCCTGGATCGCAGAAGTTCTTGCCTAGTAGTTTTGAGCAAGACTTGTACTCTAATCTGTCTTATGCCCAATCTATCTGCTATACACAAGCCAAAATGCTTTTCTGCACTTCATGGAGACCTCCACGGAGATCAAGGAGCTCTTTGCGCTGCTGGTTTCGCAACAACCTCATCAATCTTGGGTACAATTAAGAAAATGCTGACACTGATTGAGGGTATTTCACCATCCTTCACGAGTTGTTTATCTGGTGCTGCGTTTCCAAGTGTTTTCAATCTGCATAGAGTGGCAATTTTCAAGCTCTGTTCTAAATTTGCCTGGCCTGTAACTTTTGACTGAAGTCATTGATTATCCTTGTGATATTGCCTGGGCTTTCCTAAATAATTTCTGACTGAAAGATGACAGACTACCTTCAACAGATCCCATATTTTTTGATTAATTTTCTACAATTTCTTGGCGACTGGCATAAGCGATAATTGAGCATGTCAAACTTTGATGGATTACCTAGCCTTCCCCTGAATAATTCTGGAGTCTAGCTAATACTACTGGTTCATCATGCCCTGGCTGGATTGACCAACAGTTGGATCATTGTTCGTTATCATTACCTAAAAAGTTGATGTTCTATTTGCAAATCTTTTATCCACACGACAACAAAGAAGTTGGAGCTATATGATGTTTCCTAGATTGAGGAAACCCAGCCAGAATTGTTGCTATTGTATGATTCCCAGGAAAATAAAACAAAAATCATACTTGGTGGTGTGCACAAAACAAAGCTTAGTAAACATCCATTCCATGGGGCCTAACTGGGTTGAGGAGAAAATCTTCATAAAACTTTGATTTTGTGATTGTCCTTGGATGATTCCAAACAAATTGACTGCAAATACCTAAATGAATTTGTCGCCAAGAAAACGTCGTCCACCTATGATTGAAACCTTAAATGGGTAAAGAATTCTTGAGATTGGAAGGTCTCAACCACTAAGGCTTTTCTCCAATTAAAATAGATTATCCTTTGCGTCAGTGATGTGTACTTCGATTACTAGTTTTATGTGGATTCGATCCGGCGGATACCAGTAGAGCACAACAATAATATTAGCTATGTCAAAAATGAATCTTGTTCACCTGGGCACTTTGGCAGGTTTGATAAGATCATGTTTGGACTGTGGACTGCTTTTGTCATTTGCTGCATTAGTTTTATCAAAGTTGTACCATTAACTTAAACTAATGCAGAAATGACCTGTTTAAGCTTAGTTCCACTGTGCTTCTCAACCAAGAGGCATTACCCTCAAAAGCCAAGTCTAAAAGGCTACAGAAACAAAGAAAAGGAGGATATATATATATATATATATTGAATAACTTGTTAGACTTAATCCTTGTTTGAATAGCGAGTTTTTGCAGAAATGTTCTTTCTGACACATTTTTTAATTACTTTTTTTTTATTTCACACCTGTTACATCGTTATTTTTCTATGTATATAAAATTTTTAAAAACTTGCAATCCAGAAGACGGGGTTTTAATTATTTTCCTTTTTTCCTAGCAAGGGGGAATAACGGTCCAACTTGAGTGAGAATTCTTGAACCAAATTAATGAATCCATTTTGAAATGTTGAATCCAAAAATCACAATTCACCAAACTGAATGCAATGCAATGAGAGCGGAAAAAAAAAATCAAATCGAATGAGCTTCTTCTATTTGGCATGGCATCATCATTCTTCTGGCCCCTTAGTCCGAGCACAAAATTATTGTTCCCAAATCATTTTGTAACTGAACTTTTTTGTAAAACCCGACGAAGCATTGTTTCCCTGCAAACTCAACACTTTTGTCTCCTTCTTGTAGTCCAACAATGCAACCTTTTGTCCATTCAAAAAGAGATCATATTTCCACGTAAAAAGACCCTTTCCTATGTTGGGCCCCCGGGAGATAATAGTAGTGGGTATTTATTTAAACTTCCTTTGGAGTAAATACTGCTATGAAGATTGGGACGTGTAGGGGTGGATTGGTGGTCCTGGCGTGGACCTATTTGATGTTTAACCCCTTTAAGATACTACTAAACTGGGAGCAAGTGATGTAACTGGCGCACTTCAGACCTTTTGTAACACAAGGGGCACTTTTTCCCTTTTACCAGAAATGAGTTATCTTCTTCTTTTCTTCTTTTTTTTTTTTGGGTGAAAATTCAATTGGTAACATTACCAGAAATGAGTGCATGAAGGCCGATTTTATGGACCAAGGGCAGAAACAGTCAACTGTGAAATCATTCGGATCGATTTTGTGTATTTTGCATAAGATGTAACTCAGTTTACACATGATATGACTCATTTTGCACAACATATAACTATAGAACAAAATTTTATGAATTTTACATATAATGTGCAAAACAATGTACAAGATGAACGGTTGCTTGTCCCATTTGTCGATTTTTTTTTTTTTGGATCAAATTTTAGCTATCAACCTTCTGGAACGGTTGCTTGCCCCATTTCCCGATTTTAAGTCAACTCCAAATCCCTCCTTCCAAGTATGTGCCAAAATCATTTGTCCCCTCCTCATCATGTTTTAGTTTTAGTTACATCAAAGTACTCATTTTTGCTAATCATCATGTTTTAGTCACATCAAAGTACTCATTTTTGTCGATTATACTCCAATGTTGCCCACAACACTCTAAAATTGTTTTTCGACCAAATATCTACAATCCATTTTTGCATCATGCCAAAATATAAGTAACCCTCTATTCTCAAATATCTCCCACCCCACCAAGCCTTAAATGGATTTGAAGAGCCACATATTGTGGCAACTGCCTTCCACCCCACCAAGCCTTAAAAGCTTGATGGTGACCAGCAGCCCAAAGGCTGATGGTTTTTTATTTTTATTCATCAGAGGTAGTTTTTATTTTTATTTTTATTTTTATTAGAGGGGGCCTTTTCAAATAGAAGCACAAAGGGTATGGGGATAAGGATCCTGCGGTTAAAGGTTGGGTTTAGCAATTATTTTGGGAGGTGTAAGAAGAAAAACAATTAGTTTGCAAAAAAGAGTTAGAAAGATGGATTTGAATATATATTAAAAAAAAAGAGTCAAGATTGTTTGTGTAAATTGCAAAAGTAGCTTATTAAATAGGGCATAAATGGCATTTTGATTGGATGTATCGCAAATGACGTTAATTTTGAGAAAGATTAAATGTTTATAAGGTGGACTAATGTAATTGGTACACAAGGGAATATTTTAGAGTACAACTTCACATTATTTCTATCACGTCTCCTTCTTTTTAATGTTTCGCTATTTTATGATGCACAATATTATATAGGGATAATTTCAGAAACCTCCCCTGAAGTTTCGAACAATCTCACTCGCCTCCCCTGAGGTTTGCAAAATATCAACTACTTCCCCTAAAACTAAGTAGGTAGTGCCAAATCTAACCCAATTCAAATGGACAAACAATATAAAATATGTACTAGGAGAGAGAAAAAAAAGCTTCATTCCACCTCTGCCTTTGAGATTGCCATTAGTGACTTAATTTATGCTAAATAGTACACTGCCATATAACAATAATGGAATTTTCAAGAGGTGTATTTGAAACTGATGGGAAAGGCAAGGTTACTATTACATTTTGGAAGCTAGAAGCCAATGGCTCTTTGTGCAACAGCTTCTAACATTAAATAAAACTGCAAAATATGATAATACATCTTGTTGAGTGGTTGCTGAGCAAAAGTAAAACAAAAAAAAAAAAGGTTATAAATTGAACCAACTATATTTCTTACCAAAGTAATCGATCACTGATCACTGTAGCTCTTATTGTCACATCATTCATCAAAAGGAAACTTTTTTTTTTGGTGCTCTTTCCCTAAACCGAAATTAGCAATTAATTTTGCATCCAAAATTTAATTAAGTGAGTTAATCTTATGTATTACTGGCTTAACTAATTCTGTCAAAATAAATTTGGAATATATGACAAGTTATGAGGGTATTTCTATCAATTCACCACCCTTGATGTCACAATTAGGGCCCAATAATCTAATGCGGGAGGTAACCGATATTTTGCAAATCTCAGGGGAGGTGAGTGGGATTATCAGAAACCTTAGGGGAGTTTTCTGAAATTATCCCTATTATATATAATGAGATACTTAATCCAAAATTTACAAGATAAATCAACATTAATAAAACTTTATTCAGTTAAAGAAGAAGAATACAAGTGCCAAATTGGCACTAGTTTGGGGAAAAGTCTTCCCCTTTGTTCTTCTTTTTTTTTTTTGTTGCAAGGAAAGAAAAAAAAAATACAATGGATACTTCTATTTTTGCTTCAAAACAAAATTCTTATTGAATGATAGCTTTACCATTTGCTAGATAAGGATAGGATTAATTTAAAAAAAGATTAATTTTACTTTGCGCCCTTTAATTATATTCAAATTCTTTTCTGGTCCTTAAATATTAAAAACGGGACACTTTAGATCCCCAAAAATATATAATCTGTTCCATATTAGTATTCAAAGTATAAAATTTATCCCGCTCAATTATAAAATCTACTTCACTTCCGTCAATAATTTTCTTGGAATGGAACAAATTTTAAATTTTATGTTCTATAGTGTTTCATTTTAAAAGTTAAGGACCAAAATAGAAATTTAAATATAATTAAAGAGCGCAAAGCGAAGATTAACCTTTTTGGAAATGATGAATTTGTCATTTCAAGAAATATTTGATGTAACCTTTTTGCCAAAAGTGATGTGGCATTATCCATAACCTTTCTTCGTGGGTAAGTACGGGTAGGCATGTCCTCCCATGCTGTGGGGTGGTTCTTTAGCTTTAGCCAATCTAGAAGCGCCCATTTGGGAAAATGTAAAGGTATTTCTCTAAAAAAATACTCCCCAGTTAAAGCAAACAAGGTAGTGGTGATGGTGGTGGCTGTGGTGGAGGTGGAAATAGGATGGTTTTGTGAGTGGTATTTGATTGTTTGTATCTTGTGATGGAGTAACTAATGAGAGCTTGTCGCTTCCATGCTTAAAGCCAAAGGGCTTTATTCATTTAGTATTTCCTTTTCCTTTTATTTTTGATGTGAAAGGAGCAATAGTTAGTAGCTTTCGGGAGGGAGGCAGGGAGCAGAAATATAGACTTTGTTAGCATCAAATCCAAAGAACTATTAACCAAACAAGAAGGTTCTTTGTCAGTCTGGGAAACTTCACTCTTCCAGCGTTGCACAGGTGTCTCTCGTATTCCCTCCAAATGACCTTTCTTTCTTTCTTCTTGTGTCTATCTTTCATTTCGTTGGAATCGTATAGTTACTATGTCTTTGTATCTCAGGATTGCCAATTGTTCCTGATTTGAACTTGAACAGTTAGCTACCATTGGTCCTTGAAGATGTGTTGAAAAAAAAATTTTCTTTTTTCTTTTTTGGGTTTTTTCGTCTTGTCTCCTTTATACTCATACGCAGTCTGGAAATTCAACAACTTTTGATATTTCTGGAACACGCATCTTTTGTTTGAGTGACGTGCCTTCAATTCAATGACTTTGAAAATTGGCCGGCTTTAGTAAATATTGAAAACCATCCTGGGATTAATGATTTACTGTTCTAAACTGTTGATGTTCTAAGTTGAAGAGAATATTTGTTTTGTGTCAGATAGTTGGCCTTGAAAGAAGAGGGTAAATAAAGGCATCCTTTTAAGTTTTAACAGGTGAAGTTATTTGCGCAATTGATTGTAGTTGCTTTGCTTGTTGCTTTCCGATATCAGTGCACTCGGTAATTTTTATACTAAACATCTCGAGAATAGTTTTACCTTTCCTAGTTTAGCAGCTCCAATCTTGTTGGCCCATGTGGCCATAAATACACACAGACAATTCTTGGTATGTTCTAAAAGGAAGTAAGATCATCTTTACTGCTAATTCTTTGCTCCTTAGCATGATTGTTAGCATGTCAAGTTTTTACAAAATGTCATTGACATGCATTGGATTTGTTGTTGTTAACTGAGCCAGGAACACATCAACTGCAGTTGCAGTGTTCACTGTCCTACAATAGGGATTTAGACGTAACAGAAGAGAGGTTGTAAAGAGCTACTGAGTATTAAGGATGCAAAGCTCTTGCAACAAAGATGGCCAATCATTGGCACCTTTTCTTATTACTTGCTCTTCTCTATGGAACTCTACTGAACAATCAAAGTTTTCTCCTTCCAAGAGTGTTATTACTGGACCAGAATCATCTAACAACGAATTTTTCCATGTGAAGCAATCAGACTTGCTATTTCAAGAACTGGATTCCTTATCAACTCTGTCAACCTGTCAGTCTCAATACGTTATGGCTGATGCTGCAAGAAACAGCCCTTGTATGCATACCATCGGATCACAGTGTGGTCATACTTGCTATTCCTTGTCATATTCTCTGATATTTGTTTTTTCAAAATGAAACCTTGTAAATTAATAAACTCTTATGATTAGACAAATAATTAGAGTTTACTGCACCAAACTAAAAGTTATGCACAAATTGAGAAATGGTTCAAAATTTTTAATTACCTTACAAAGAGTAGATAGAAGTTGAAGTTCCAATACATTTGAATGACATGTGAAATTGGGACATCACAATGGACTTAAATTTTGTATTTGTGTTTGACTGGCAGACTGAATAACCTACGGTCTTGCATAATTTCAATTCTGGTGCAATTGTAGGGGAAACAGTAACAATTTCTTTTAGTATCACGTGAAGTAATCTACCACTTCATTTGATACATATAAGGTTTCTTGACTGTTAATCTGGATTCTTTTCTTCCTTAGTGTTACTATTTGTTGCTAAGGTGGTAACTAGCTTCAAAATGTTGAAAATAAGCGGACAAGGTGAAGATTTTTTTTTTGGGTCAAAAGTTATTCTTTTATATAAACCATAATCTTTGAAAATATGCAGACGAGGCAAAGATGTTTCTCAATTGTAATTGGAATCACTTTGTGCATGGTCTAAATCAACATTTTTGTGGCCTTTAGGAAGGCTTTGTGTACATTGCATGTTTGTGTTTTCACTTTCTAAATCAGTGAGGTCACTCATCCACTTACATTTCTGCATGCTCTGTTCTATATACTCAAAAAACATACCTGATACTTAGTGATCCAACATATATACAATAATTTCTTTGGAAACCTAAACTCGGATGTATTTCATCCACTTTACCAACATGAGCTCGAAAATGTTTCCTCCACCTTCAGAGTACTAGCTTGTTTTTGTCTCAGCCTTTGTCAACTTATATTAATGGAAATTTTCTCTTTCTCAGCTGGTGATGAAACTCATGGAAGGCGTGCAGAGCAGTACCAGAGATCACCTCTTTTGTGTGTCAGTGCAGATTTTACTGTTAGCCAAGTACAGTTGGATTATAACAAGTCATTGGTGAGTCCATCTCCATTCTTTCCTCAGTGCAATGCTTGGGACTGCTGGCTTGGTAGAAAAATGTTAACTCTGATTAGACATGTTTTGATACCGGAGATCCAGAGACCTTCAATTTTGCCTTCTAATACATGGCATGGCATAAAATTGATACCTTGGCATATCTTTAATGATTTTAGTCTTAGCACCTACATCTTGCATCTCTTATGAGAAAGACAAACTTGGGATGGTTTTTTTTTTTTTTTTTGGGGGGGGGGGAGGTGGAGGAAGGGGTAGAAGAGCCATTTATAGATGCATAGATGACCATTTCCATCATAAGTCATTAGCGGAAGCTCCTCACTTCTTCCATGTAGATAAGATAATCTTATTCTAGATCTACCTATGCAAGAGCAGCCACACTTTATCAACGCTTTAAGTATATTAACTAAGGAGTCACTGAAAAAAGTAGGATTATTTACCCATGCACAGATTGAGTAGCTTGGTCATGACTAATCTACAATCCACAGTATAGGTGCGTGACTTAGTCATGGCATGTTGAAAACACTGTGTATATGCACATTGTAATGCACCAATAACAGTGACAATACCTATAATGGAATGCCAACAACTGTGGAAGTTGGGGTGAAGACAAACCAGCATACTTAATTCTCAAATTTGGCTCAGCTCTAGAAGAGTTTGTCTAAGACTGGTCTGTTAATTAATCTCCTATGTGGAAGGAAACTGATCAAAAGTCTCTCCCATATCAAAGGAAGACAGTCCAGTGCCAGTTCTACATCCAAGTTATGAAATTAGTTTATTCTAGTCTTTTTTATTATTATAGATATTCATTTAATCCTGGAAGCAACAAAGTAATCTAATCATTACATAGTTAAATCTATAAAAGGCTAATGCAGAAAACCAGAAGTTGAAGGCTTCTGTTTGCCTCTGATTGACCACTCCATGCTTCAAATATTGGTGATATATTAACAACTCAAATGGAGACTAGAGACATGCTTAAGCTCCACACAATCTGAATTAGGAAGAATGGGCATGTGGTTATTGCATAAATCCAATGAAAAACGGAACACAGGAATTTATGGTCTTTTGTGCTTTCAGGCTTGCATACCCTTCCCCAGCAGTGAATCCTACTTTGGCGGGCTTGTAGCTGCTTATGGGCCAAATGCTCTTGTAAGTCCTTCATTCATCAGTTGTAATAACAAACATCTTAATTCTACATATTTTTGGGAGTATTGATGTTTGTTATTAGAAAAATGAGGAGTCAATGAAGTAAGTTGATTTTTTGTTTGACATGGAACTTAGCAGAAAATAGAGAAGGCAAAAGGTTGTGGGATACAAGGACAAAAACAATTTCAAAGTGAATCTATTGTCTAACAGTTGGCGTATAATGCAGTTTGTAGTAAGCTTAGGTTCTCAATCGTTCATGAAGCAAGATGGTAAATAGGACTCATGCAGAGCACTCTCCAGCTTAAGAATGCCAATTGGTTTTGATGTAATCATAATTTACGTTTTCTGCATAATCTGAAGAGAATCCAGCTATTTACTACAGTTTGTGTTGTGGATGTGCATAATACATCATGCACTTCATAATTCATCATGCCTCTTCTTTCTCTTCTCTATTCTGGAGTATCTTAGGTACTTCTTATGTGATGGGATTGATAATTTGGATTTTAATATTTTTGTTGCTGTAGGATTCCTGAGTTGGAATTTAATGGGAGTTCTAAATTGGTTGTTATTTGTTTTGTGTGAAAATAGACCATGTTTTCTGAATGATATGTTTGCTCTTTCACTCTAGCTGGGCTTGTTACTGAATGCTGGAAAAGGATCTATTATCCAGATAAAAAGAAAAATTAATTAAAAAAAACAATGATAAAAAAATTTGCAAGATGCTGAATGAAGGTTTTTGTTATTTACTTGTGGATGGAATGTGTGTCTTCTATCCGTAAGAAGATGCTTCTGAATCTTCTGAATGGGAGATTAAGAAGAATCCCATTGGCAGGCGAAGGTTGGGAATTAGCAGCGTCATCTAGTGGTACAAGTACCTGTGTTCTTTTGAGAGCCTGTGATAAGCTAAATCCATGAACTTTACCATGGCTTTTGGCTGTAGTTGCATTTAACTATGAATTTGTCATTTTTTTACTTTAGAAGGTCTTCTTTGAGCTGAAACACGCTTCATCAAATTTAATGAGATGCATTGGTCTTTTCAGCAATCAATGTAGCTTATTAAAATGCTTGCTGCAATATGACCAGGTATGTCCTCCTATGGTGGGGATGCTGCATGCAAGAGTTCCACTTCCTCCTCTTCAATGTGCAGAGGGCATGCCTGTCTTGGTCAATGCTAAGCAATATCGTGCAATCCTCAGACGAAGACGAATCCGTGCAAAGCTCGAGGCTCAGAACAAAATGCTCAAGTTCCGAAAGGTACTTGTAGCTTAAAGCCATCACTTTGTGCCTCAACTAATAAGTTCGGTTTTCATCCTTGAAAGTGTTAATTTTGTTTTTTGCAGCCGTACCTTCATGAATCTCGACATAAACATGCGGTAAGGAGACCTCGGGGTTCTGGAGGGCGCTTTTTGAATATGAAGGATATAAAGCCATCCAAGCTTTCATCTCCAAGCTATACTGAGGATACTCCTCTTAAAATGCTTGCTGGAGATATATCTGGCTCGGAAGCTCGGCTCTCAGAAAGTTGTAGTTGGGCAGCTTCCACCCCATCTGGCTCTGATGTCACAAGCATATTCAATGGTGATGACATCTTCCAACACCCAGAGAATCAGGTGTCAGCCTCTTCTTTCCACATGGGCATGCGTGTCGGAAAAGATTCAACACATTTAGAAGCTGGCAACCTGCTTTTCTTATCCATTGATGGACGTGCTCGAAATTGACTGCATCTTTAATTGCAGCTCTGGTGGGCAACTCGCAATGAATATTTGGCAGGACATCCTTGGCTATTTTACTACTCTTTGTTCCAGACTTGGAATAAAAGAGGGGACTTCCTCGTAGGATATGTCCCATTCAGGCATTCGATGGTTCCATGATTATGGTTTCCAGATAAAGAAGAAACGCATAGCTGGACCAATGTTGTGTGCTTTTAATTTTAGTGTCAATAAAAGGTAATGATCCTTAACTACTGCTCAGACAAGGAATGGTTGTGCTTTCAATTCCTTTTGTCTGATGTCTTTCAGAGTCTATGTTTTTCTTGCATTTGGTTTTGTATGGCTGTGTTTGGCCATCGTTGGTGATTATGTCTTGCACTAGCAAAGATGTACTAATAAAAACTTTGATTACCTTGTGTAGTTCGTAATTGCCTGCCTAAAGTTCTTACTGCGTCTCCCCCCGCCCCTTAAAATTCTTTTTTGATACAAATAGGAGCAGGAAAATCTAAACTTGGCACATTTTATACATAGGTTAATGTCTTTATCAATTCATCTAATATGAGCTGACAACTCCAAAGTTAAAAGGGTTAAAAACAAAAAAGTCTCGTGTGTTTTATCTATTACACAGAAAAGCCCTCCGTAATTTCAAAACGTATAAAACGACACCTCATGTTTTGAACTAAATTGTAAACTAACAGAATTCATAAATTTAATGAAAATGATGGTTTCAACGGTTAAACTTACCGGATTCTGTTAAATTTACCGTTAAGTTTATCAGATTTCGTTAAGTTTACCCGATTCTGTCAGTTTTACAATTCAGTTCAGAATATGAGGTGTTATTTTGTATGTTCTGAAACTATGGAGAATTTTTCTATGTATTAGGTATATTACAGGGGGCTTTATTATTTTTAATCCAAGTTAAAAATACATATGGTTGATTTACCACAGAAAAGGTAAAATATTCGTTGAGACCGAAAAGAGGTTAAAGTTGTATCCATCACATAGTCTGCACTAGCTAGCTACAACATGATCCAGGAGCCTAAGATCTATTTCATTTGCCTTTATGAGGAATTCAGTGAATCGGTAACTTCAATCCATTTGAGTTCAACTTTCCAAATGGTGGGGCAAAAAATGTCATGGTTTTGGAATATGTTTAAAACCCAAAGCAAAAAGGGTCGGATGACGAATCCAATCTCTTACACTTGATAAAACAAAAATTCATTGTCTAAATTAAATTGATGTATTAGAAGTAAAACTTGTTTGCGCACATTTTTAACACTGTAAAGGTTGATTTTGTAGTGTCATTACCATAGAAGAGCCTATAGTTAAAGTGATCTTTGTCTCTTGTAGGTGACAGAGTAGTAGTAGCTTATTTTTTTCCCCTTGAGGAGTGTGTGATTGATAGGATCCATGCAAGGAAAATGTCTCTTATATATCCTCGAGTTATATTACTACTTACCTTTTAGGGATAATTTCACAAACCTCCCTGAGATTTCTCACAATTACAAAGAGCTCCCCTCAGGTTTTAAAAATTATATGTACCTCCCCTACTTTTACTGTTTAATAACAATGTAGGTCCTAAAACTTAGATTTTCTTTTAAAAATCATAAATTGTCCTTTTGTATAAAACTAAGAAAGAAAAATATAGTATACTCAATCATTTTCTTCCACACTTTGCATAAATCAACAAGCTAAATCCCTAACAACCATCCAAGTATAAGTTTTAAAATCAAGTAACCAGCCAAAAGATTCCAAATTGCATATACAATATCAATATTTGTCACGATAAAAACAAAAACACACACACACACACAAAACCATGTTGAAAACCAATTTTATACTCCTAAAGTAAATATCAATGCTCAAATACCTTTTCAATATAAGCTAATTTGACCTAGAACCACCATTATAATTCTCCTATGGTTTTAAAAATATTAATATTTCAAAAGTTGAAAATAAATTCTACCTCCACAATAAAATCATAATGAAAAATTTCTAATCCAATAAATGAAATCATTATGTAATTATTGACATTTTATAAAAGTTTTTCCTAATAATAAACAAAATATAACAAATTCCACATCTTTAGTTCTTCTTCCTATTTCAATCATTAATTTCATTATTTATTTCTCTATCACTGTGAGTCTCTTCATTTCCTTTTAGTTTGACACATAATTTACTTCCTTTGTAGATTTTATAATTTCAATTTGCTAATATCCACAAAATTGAAGATAATAAAAAGAGATTATATTAACTAGAAAATAGACAAGAGACAGAAAAATAGATTTTTTTTTTGATTGTGTAAATTTATTGCCTTAAATTTAAAATTGTCTACTAAGTGGAGGGTATTATAGGTATTTTATTATGTCAAGGGAGGCAAGTATAATTTCTTAAATTTGAGGGGAGCCGAGTGCAATTGTCAAAAATCTCAAGGGAGGTTTCTGAAATTATCCCTACCTTTTAAATCAACATACAATGCAAGAACTGCCCATTAATTGCATTCTTTAATGTGCAATTACTAAAGACTTCGGTAAATTAATTACATGGGAAGTCATTGATTTTTTGTCGTAATTATAAATCTATTAGGACTTTGAACCCTTTTAAAATTAGTTCTCACACAATATGCTTTTGTCATCATTTCCGGTTGGTAAATTGACAGCAATGCCTTGGAAATTTGGTAGTGTAATGTAGAGGGTGATAACGAGTATGATAAGCAAGCCTATTCAAGCTCCAATTCAACTCAGAGCGAGGAGAAATTTATGTGGCTTGACTTGATTTGATAGAAGAGTTAATAAGGCTAAAACTCAATTTGATAAGGCTCGATACTGTATTAATAAAAATAAAACTTGATTTGACAAGGTTTGATATTTGTTCTCGAGCCTTGTTGAACTCGAGTATTCAAAAACTCGAAATACTAAATTTCATATAAATTATCTAAAACAGAAATTTTTATTGGTTAATTCATAATCAAAATAAATATATTATATGAATGATAAAATTAATTGAGCTATTCGATGAGTACCCAAGTAGCACAAAAAGAGGTTCAAACTCGACTTGATTCCTGCGTCAAGTTACATGAGCTTGAACTTGATTTGATCGAATTCAAGCCAAATGATTTCGAGTTGGTTATTTGACCTAATTGTGAGCAGCTCAACTTGTTAGCACTCCTAATGTAATGGAGTATTTTTTTTGGTAAATCGAACACTACCTATCATAGACAGAAAAGAAAAATTTCAAAATCAAGTTGATTATCGAGAGGAAAATAAAATCCTTCTCTCTACAAGTAATTGGTTAGATGCTTGGTAAAAATTTGGGTAGACTTTGTTTTTGCTTGTTTGCCTATTTTGCGTATTTGCCTGACCACTCGGTCTACAAGTGGCACCGTAGACCGGATTCACGAAACTTTTGCCTTAGTCCCAAATATAATATAAGGAAAAAAAATAATGAAAGAAAAATCTGACCTGGACTCGGACTCAACCACTCATCATCAAATCAACCTAATTTTCAGTTTTCAAGTCCACTGATGACCCTTTGTCATTTTAACTGCAGTTAAAAAATATATACAAGGTGAAGGTGGTAAAAGGGTAAGTAAAGGGTGGGTCAAAACATTTTCCCCAAAATTTCCCTCCGAACCCACAAATCGCCCAATTTCCCAACCCCTCTCTCTCTCTCTTTCTCTCTCTAAAGCTAGTACTACGGCTCTTTACTCTCTCTCTCTCTCAAACAAACTTCACTCAATCCAATATTCTCAGAGTCTTCTTTTTCTCTCTCTCCCTATTTTACTAAACCCTAATTGTTCAAAGTAGTGGTAATTGAATTGAATTGAATTTTGAGTTAAGATATGGATGCTAATCCCCAATACGGTCCGAGGACTGTGGAAGAGGTTTTTAGGGATTTCAAGGGTCGAAGAGCTGGCTTAATTAAAGCACTCACTTCTGGTAAAATGTTTCAGAAAACGATTAGCGTAATTCTTTCTATTTGGTTTGAATTGTCAGTTGTTAGTGATGGTATATGCTTTTGAATTTTCATTTTGGTCAGTTTTCCGTGTTTATTTGATTTTTTTCTTTCTGGGGTTTTGCCAATTGTCGTGATTCTTAAATGGGTTATGCTTTTTGTTTGCAGATGTTGAACGGTTCTATCAGCAATGCGACCCTGGTATATTTTTCTTCTTTTTTTTTTCTGCGTACCTTTTCTTCTGGCTGGAAAATGTCTTTTGTTTTTGGCGAAGTATTTTATTTTTGTGGCTGAATGAATTTTGGGTCTTTCCCCGTCTATTTGAAATTTATCTTCTAGTGAATTTTCGGAGTTATTTATTATTCTTTTGCTGCAAATTTGGTTAATTATTTGAGTGCATGTATGCATGAATTTTTTTGCCTGGACTGAGGACTAACATTTAATTGCAGCTGTGTGTGTGAAACAGTGAAAATTGTCTAACCTTTTAGCGCCTCTTTTCTGCTTGTAAGATTGATGCATCATGTTCCCATTTCATTTTTACGAGTCCTTTGTCAATTCCACAGTGGTTTCAAATTTTGAATGTTATGAATTGTTGGAGTACAGGCCTTTACTTTGTAGTTTGTTTGAGTTGTTTGCTACTTTTTAATCATAAAATTAAATGTTCGTTTCATACACAGAAAAAAGAACTTTACCATGATTTACTCATGTATGCTTAATGCTTACCTTATACTTGTTTGTGTACCATATATACATCTGTGTAGAGGGGGAAAGAGAAGGTGAGCTCGTATGATTGGACAGTGCCTGAGCAATTATTTGCTTGCGGGATTCTTCAATACGTATTGGATTTGACTTGTTCTGGTATCAAGCTTAATCTCTATGTATGGGTTTGTGGTCCAGGAAAATAGAGAAGAGTTGTCTATGAATGGCTAGACAATCTCTTTAGCATACTCCATCGGTGGATATTTTAATTTTAAGTGCAGATTGATTTCATTGAAACTCTATTCAGGATCTGTTTAGGTAGGTAGAAGAAGTGCTTGAAGCTATCATATGTGATACTTTGTTTCTACCTGGTCATATACCCTCTCTAGCAACCTTTTCTATGCCTTTTTGTTTTTGCTTTGAACTCCGAACTTCCATTTGTTCTTGAGATAGACATTAGTAGAGAAAATTTAACCTCTTCACATGCTTTTCTTTGTAAAATGCATCATGAATACAAAAACATCTTTAATGAAGGATGTTAGATGTGCCTTTACAAACTAATAGTTTCATTTATAACTGTTGACAAATAACTTGCATACGTACCCTTTCAGGCACTGAGCCTTCTCAGAAAATGATAAGCACTTCTGCTCTTTACTAGTTTTGCATGTCTGACTTTCTTTATTATCATTTGCATTTTCTTCTTTTCTGTACTTTATTTGCTTCTTTTTGCTCCCTCCCTTTTACTTTAATCATTTACTTTCTTCCATGATTTTTGTTTTTCAAGTCTT